AACATGGCCGCCGCAGTCTTGGATGACGTTATTTTGCTCATGGCGTCAGCTGCAAAAAATAATAAACAGCAAAGTTAGTAAAAATCCCAAGCAAGAAAGGCGTAAAAAGCAGAGTATTTGTCAGGCCGGCTACCTCTAGAGCACCGACTGCTGAGGCCACAGGCGGCCAAAAAGTACTCGTCATAGAGCCACTTGAAGCTCGGGACGCAGTGCAGGGGTACTTGCTCTCGTACCCCTGAAGTAGAGTTCACCCTAGTCTCTACTTTGAAGAGTCCTTTGTCTAGGATCTCTTTTTTAGCCTTTGGGGGAACAGGCGGCATGCTGCGGCCGCCTGCAAGGAGAGGCGGATCCCTATTCCATTTGTTAAAGCGTTTGTTCAGCTCCTTGTCTGAACTCTCGATGATCAGAAAGGTGTTCCGCCAATCCTTCCATTTATTTGCCTTACCTCTCGTCATGAGGTAGCCCCTATGGCTAGTTATTTGATACCAGCCGGTACCGCCCGACTTAGGGGTCCGGCTGAGATAGTTCATGTGGGCGAAAGCCTCGAAGCTTGGCTCCACCCCGTACATTTCGCACCCGGCCACATAGCCGAGTACGTTTACCCAAGAGTTGGGGGCTAACTGCTATAACCCCAAATCATACCCATCTAAAATCCGCTGAACAGCCGGATGTAATGGGAAGCGCAGTCCAACTTTGATGGCCGCCGCATAGCAGCCAAAGCAGCCGTCATCATAGCTGGTACCAGCCGGCCAGACGACAGTATCTTCTGGATCCGGCACGAACAGTAAAAACCCAGGGCCCATTCTGTGGTTAGCTATAAAGCTCTCCACTTTGTCTTGCATGGCAGTGATCCGGCCCCGGGGTACCGTGCAGTAGTAGGGGGTGTTCTCCTCTCTGTAAGAGGCGGACGGCTCGGCCCAATTGCTCCCCTTCTCAGCTGCATGAGAGAGCCTTGCCTCTTGTAGGCGGCTGTGTTTTTCTTCTGAGCCTGGAGAGGCGTGGCCAGAAGAACTGGACTCAGACTCGTCCTCTGACGAGTCCGAGGAGGACGACTCCTCCCCTCTCCCAGAGGGGCCCGCCTCCTCTCCCTTAGAAGGAGCGGGATAAAAGTTAGAGGTTTCAACGGAGAAATGGGAAGGGACCACCTTGGCCCCTCCCTCAGAACTGTCGGCTTGGCAGCCGCCTTGTTTCGCTTTTACATCTGGCGCCTGGTCAGATGTTTCGCTGATAGGCACCCTTTGGGAGGAGCCGTCCGAGTTTGAGATCCTAGCTGTCTTTTTTGTTCTGGCCATCGCGTTCTGCATAGACACAGATACAGTCGGACTTTGTATAAAGGGCAAAGATGGGTCCAGAAGAGGGCAGGCGGCACTCCTAGTCCTAGATTCAGCCGTCCCCGGTGACCGGCTGATCGCTAACTTAGGTCGTGTCGTGTGCTTCCATGGTGCCATTTCAAAAAATAATAATAAGAAAAGAAATTAAGAACAAGAGAACCGACGGTTACCTGAACGAGTGACGGTTGATGAAATTCTGAAATCCTTTGCAAACGGCTTGTCAGAACAGGCGGTAGTCAACAAAAGTCCAAAGTGTCAGAGCAAGTTCAGGGGTCCGAATGTTCTCGCAAAGTTCTCAAATGTGAAAATGACCGAAGTCAGCACTTCCTTATATAGGCAAAGTGAGAAGGCGAAGGGTCGCTTTCAAATTCAAAATTTGGGCGGGAAAATCTCTCGGCCATCCGCAAGGTGACACCTGTAGCAGGTCGTCGCCTGTCACCGTGCGACACCTGTCACAGGTGACACGTGACCAGTCACGTGCCACCTGTGAGGGGCAAATGATTAGGGGATTTTTATCCACCAATCACCGTCTGACAAGTGGACCAACCAGGTTCCGCCACGTGTCCTTCACGTAGGCCAATAGGAGCCTGCCACGTGTCAGTCACAGATTCGTCCTCTACGGACCAATTGAGACACGCCACGTGTCCGCCCATGCCAAATGGGAAAACCGGCCACCAAGGCCCAATCCTGTTTAGAGGCCCAGTCAGCCCTAGGTTTACCCTAAACCTAGAGATTGGCACGCTTCCCGAGGATATAAATACCTCTCTTAATCCTCATTAAGAGGGGGGAACTCGAATAACTCACAGATAAAACATTAATCACTCTCGCCTAGAGAGACCTAGTCACCTTAATTTCCGCATTTATTACTCCTTAATCAGGTACTAACTTGACCGTTGGAGGCGGAGCTCCTACCACAAGGAGTCTTCGTTGTTTTGCAGGTACAGGCGTCCGGTTCCAGTCTTGGTGTTGTAACTCTCCCGCAGGACATCAGAAAACCCCGAAACACTTATCTTTTATTACTTTTTAAATACATACGTTATATAGAAAGTTAGTAGACTTTAAACCCAAAAATTCCTCATAATTAAAGATTCCAAAAACAATAACCAAAAATTTGAAAATTTATTCTTGCAATTAAACTTTAAAGTTTCAAACTTTATAATCATAAAATAACCACAACCTTTGTTTAATAAAATTAGAGACTTGAAACACATGAAATCAATACAATTTAAACCCAGGATTAAAACTTTAATAATCTAAAAATTTATTTAAAACCTTCGTTAAAAATCAAAAACTGCCCAAAAACCATATTTAGAGGCAGAATTTGGCCACGAGAGGGTGGTGTTTACTACCAAAGGTAGTGAGTTTTGATTAAAACGTTGTTTACACACGAAAAACACTATTTTTTTTGTAAAAATTGGTTGAGTTAGAATCTAAACGTGATTAAAAAAAATTAAGAACGGAGATCATAAGTTGATTACGGAAACCTGAAAATTTGTTTTTATGCTTAATTAATCATTAGAAATTCAATAGGAACCAAATCCCCAAATAAATTGATCATTAGAACCCTAAAATCCCAATTTAACTAAATTAAAACCCTAGGTTTAAAATTACAAAATCTGAAAATTAAAGCAACAATTATAATTTGAAATTATTAATTTAAACAATCAAAAACATGATTTTGATACTAAATAAATTAATTTCAAGCAATAAAAACCAAAACTCAAAAATCAATTTCATAAGCTTTATGAAAATAATAAGAAATAAAGGAGGAAGAAAATAAGACTAACTTTTTTTTTGTGGGAAAGTTTGGGGATTCATGGGGTATTTATAGGAGAGAATTGTAAGTAGAATTGGGCCTCATGAAAATAATGGGCTAATTAAATAAACAAATGGGTTAGACTTTGTTTTCATGATAATGGATTGTAGGATATAGGTTCATAAAATAATTTAGCCTAAAATAATTTTTGACCCAAATTAATAATTTGAAACTTTTAAAATTAAACTCTGGAAAAATACAAATAAATATTATAAATAAAATAAAATTTCATTTATAATTTATTTAAAAATACGGGAGATTACAAATAGTGTAGATGAGGTTCAATCCCAAGTATTAGATATCACCCTAAAACTTAACATCCACTTTTGTGTAAAAAATTAAAATAACAATAGTGAATTAGCAATGAATATGTGTTTGGATTATTTTTCCTTGATTTAATATAGTGTCACTCCATTATTTTTATACGAGTATAAATTTTCAAAATGTGTCAATAACTTATTTAAATCAATTTTGTACAACTTTTTATCACTTATTATTGTCTTAGGTAGTAGAGATTATTTCAAATAAATTTACAACTGAAATCAGCTGCGTAGAATATACCATTTGCACAAGATCAATACGATAAATTCCAGTCCACAATGCAAGATCTATTCAATGATCATAGCTTTGATGAAGGAAACCCTTATTTGGTTCAAACACAAATTCTTCAAAAAGGCGGGTGTATGTTAATTTATTGTAAAATGGGTTAAGTTAGTTTAAAAGTACTTAAAATTACCTTTTATACTGCAAAAGTTATTATTTTTCTATTAACAAATTTTATCTTACAAAAAAACTTATAATATATTATATTAATCATATTAGTCTTTATAATATGTAACCACGTATCTATAAGAAATTACACATTAAAATAAAATTCAAACCAACGATAAATTAAAAGTTACCCTTTAAGTGGTTAAAGTTACCATAAAAATAGTTAAAGTTACGCTCAAATTGATCGTTTTACAATAAAATTAATGTGCACCCGTTGTACACAAGATTTATTCTTGGTTCAATTTATATATTTGTTAATTTAGAAATCATTTGTAAATGCCGTATAACTTTATATTAATGAATTGATTTTTTTTAAAAAAAAAAACCCTAAAAAAATTCTTGTTTCTAGGGGCTACCACCAACCTTTCGGTTGATGGTAAGCCCCTAATCTCTTAGTTTTTTTACTAGCTTTTTACTTTATGCTCACAACAATTGTAGTCTCTCTATTTGAGAGTTTTTCTACTTGTATATCGGGTTATTTCTATCCGTATATCGGGTTAATTTTCTCTCTTTTTGAGAGTTTTGGGGCTATGTTCTTTAATTTTGTAAGAAAAATTGATTTGTTGATGAGGAGTTGTGCTGTGTCGCCATGGAGGTTAATTTTACATCTACAATCAATTGTATCGAATGGTGTTCGATACCAAAACTATAATAGATCGAAAGACCCCCTCGTGAAAAGCTGTATCAAACAGCGGTGTGAAAGAGGGCATTTAGAAATGTCAGATCCAGATAACAACAATCGTAGTTTTGTCAAATTATAATATTATTTGATTCAGTTTATATTGTATTTGCTAGTTTTGATTTATATTATAGATGTCGTATGACTCTTCTATTAATGAATCAATTTTCTTAAAAAAAAAATAAATTGATTTTTTTTTTTTTTTTTAAAAGGTCGGGAATAAAATAAAGTTTATTTTTTTAATTTAAATTTTTTTTATTAAGAGTAGAGGGTTTAAAAAAAAAAAAAAAAGTGGACGGTAATACACTACTACTTCATACCCAAATCCAGTAAAAAGATGGGTTAAAACCAAGTTCAAACAAACCAAACCCATACCCGTATTATAAATAAGATTATAAAAACAGGTTTTCTAGGGTTTTTCTCTATCGCCTTCCTCATTTTCCTGCAACTAAAATCTTCTCTTCACACACCTTCAGATAGCTGCGCAAAAATGGTGAAGGGACGTCAAGGTGAGCGTGTTAGGCTCTATGTCAGAGGTTCAATCCTAGGATACAAGAGGTATACCCACTAAATTTTCTCTTATCTTTTCAATTAATTCCGATTTTATTTTTGTAAAGAACAATTATATAATCTACATTATACTAAAGTTTAGATATATTGTTACATCGTTGTAGTTTTCGACAGAAATCTATCAAAAGTTTTGATCTTTATTTGAAATCATAATAGATAAAACCTGGAAATTTAATTGAACTGCACTGATTTGTTTCGCCTTTTTTAATGAATTGAAACGGGATTGTAGAATGTGAGAGTTTGTGATTGAGAGATTTTGATACTGGTATAAATATATTGAAGTTTGGCCATTGAAAACTTTAATTTTAGGTGGGTTTTTTGAGAAGTTGAATTTGAAAGGGTATAGAGGAGATTTTTCAGTTAGTCAAAGATGTAATTGACTAAAGAGGTTTTAAGAGAATATCTGAGAATGATTGAGTATCTACTACAATATGCTTTTGGTTATCAAAACATGGAAAATTGGAGGAGAGAATTTGAAGAGTTTCATTTGGTTGATGTGGAAAGCTGTTAATTTTCTCACTGGGAAATGGGGCGGCATTGTGAGGAAGAAGACTTTCTTTACATTAACAAGCTATAATTTATCCAACTTGACCCCCCGCCCCTGTAAATCCTGGCTTGCTGGGTATTGTTTGGTTTGCTTAAATTGTAATTGGGTTATTTGAATGTAAAATAGGTCGAAATCGAACCAGTACCCAAACACATCCTTAGTACAGATCGAAGGAGTGAACACACAAGAAGAAGTAGCATGGTATTTGGGAAAGAGGATTGCTTACATCTACAAGGCTGAAACTAAGAAGAATGGATCCCACTACCGTTGCATTTGGGGTAAGGTTTGCAGGCCTCATGGTAACAGTGGTGTTGTTCGGGCTAAGTTCACTTCCAACCTTCCCCCTAAATCTATGGTATATTTCTTTCTCTCTTTTTTAATCCAACTTTTCATATTTTGGGTGAAATTATTGATTTGTTTTTTTAATACTATTGTAGGGAGACAAGGTTAGAGTTATGATGTATCCCAGCAACATCTAAGAAGAAGGTAATTGTTACTTCAATTGTCATTTGTGATGTTATTTTTTTTTTTTTGATACCGTTGATCAGTTTTATAGATTAGTATGTATTTTATTTGGGTGATAAAATGTGTAATTGTATGAATGTTATGAAAGAAAATTTACTGCACCATTTTTACTGATGTTTGAATTGTTGTGCTTGATGTGATGGGGGAAGGGGAGTAGAAATAAATGTTGTGCTTAATGTGTTGCTAGACCATTGCCCGGAGGAGAAAAAAAAACCTCTCAATCTTTCTCTACCCACTTTCTCACTCTTCCCATCCAATTCCTCTCATGAGAGGTTTTTTTTACCACACCAATGCTTAAAAAAAAAAAACTCCTTATCACTCTTTTCTCCACTATTTTTTATACCCCACCATAATCCACATCACCTTATTTATTCTCTGTATATTTTATTAATAATGTTTTTACTACATATTTAAGTTTCCAACTAAATTAAAATTGCTTAAAATTAATAACTTTTTATTTTTAGTCTAACTAATTACGTTTTAAATATAATTTAATAATTTTAATAAATCAGAAATTACTTAAAATAATTTAAGAAATTGAGAAATTAGTGAATGTAGGAGATTTTTTGGGTATATGAAAGTATATCAAAATGGATCTCTATTTATAGAGAATAAAATTTTATGACCGTTGGTGGAATTTTTTATTTTTTTTTATAGTTTAAACGGTGATTATACCGTTTAAATATGTATTACCGTTGCAAATAAGCAAAAAATTGTCATTGGTCAATTAATCTGGGAAGGACACGTGTCGCCAGCCAGTTGGGCCTGAAGTGCCCCTGCCAGCATGCCATTGAATTTTTTTTTTTTTTTTTTAAAAAAAAAAGCAAAAAGTTAAAAAAAAAAACAAAAGCTGTCAACTGACCGGGGCCCACCAGCTCTACTGTTTACAATTAAATGTCCTCAACTGATGTGCGGATTCCGAATCTCTCACGGGTGAGGGATTTTCCTCTCACTGGTGTAGACCTCGGGTATTTTTGTTTTATACCGTTACTTTCACTCGTGAGGGATTTTTCCCACACTGGTGGAAGTGCTCTTAAAGATGCAGAGTTTCAACTTTCAAGTTTCGATCATATGTCTTACACCCAACAAAAAATATCTACTGAGTCTGAAGAATGTTTACACGAAGCTGATATCTATTCAAAAGAATCTTAACATGAAGCATAATAACTATTCACTTCATCCTTCTAAGCTTTTGCTACTCTCATCAAAAAGGGGCTGATGAGGCATCAGCTTCACAGTTACAAGTAAAAACAACATTAAGAGCACTCCTACCAGTGAGGGAGAAACCCCTCACGAGTGAAAGTAATGGTATAAAATAAATACCCGAGGTCTACACCAGTGAGGTAAATCCCTCACCCGTGAGAGATTCGGAATCCGCGCATTAGTTCAGGACATTTAATTGTGAACAGTAGAGCTGGTCGGCCCCGATCGGTTCACAGCTTTTATTTTATTTATTTATTTTTTTAACTCTTTGCTTTTTTAAAAAAATTAAATTGCATGCTGGCAGGACGCGTCAGCCGGCTGGCGACACGTGTCCCTGCCAGATTAATTGACCAATGACAATTTTCTGCTTATTTAAACGGTATTATTACCGTTTAAACTATTAAAAAAAAAAAAAAAATTCACCAACGGTCATAAAATTTTATCCTCTATAAATAGACATCTATTTTGATATACTTTCATATACCCAAAAAATCTCCATACATTCACTAATTTCTTAAATTATTATTATTATTATTATTATTATTATTATTATTATTATTGTTTTAAGTAATTTCTGATTTATTAAAATTATTAAATTATATTTAAAACGTAATTAGTTAGACTAAAAATAAAAAATTATTAATTTTAAGCAATTTTAATTTAGTTGGAAACTTAAATATGTAGTATAAACATTATTAAAAAAATATATAGAGAATAAATAAGTTGATGTGGATTATGGTGGGGTATAGAAAATAGTGGAGGAAAGAGTGATGAGGAGTTTTTTTTTTTTTTAAGCATTGGTGTGGTAAAAAAAACCTCTCATGAGAGGAATTGGATGGGAAGAGTGAGAAAGTGGGTAGAGAGAGATTGAGAGGTTTTTTTTCTCCTCACTGCGGGCAATGGTCTAAGTTATACTTCTGAAATTAAGCATATCATGTGAGGCTGTTTGGGACAGTGCTCATCAAGTCATTAAAATTAGCTTTTATTGTTGATTAGTAATGTTTTTGTCAGTGCTTTCTTAATTAATCAAAGGTAATTATGGATCCTTTAGTGTTTGGTTGGAATTTGGAGTGACAAAGGAATGTAAAGATTCGAATGCTAGTAAAGGTTTAGCAGTTTTTGGATACTTGGATATATGTGTTATATATTGCCATGCCGTGACTATTAGTTAATTAGCAAGTTCAACCTTTTGTGCCAATGCGATTTTTCACCCTAACAATGTTACTACTTTATAATTATAACTTTGAAAACAGAACAAAAGGGATATAGTTTATTGGATATTATGGAATGGTTGTACAGAAGTGAATTTATGTTGCCATTTCACGATTAGAAGGTTATACATTGGGAACATGTTGCTTGGGTCCAAAAGAGTGATTAATACATGATATTATTTATTGCATTCTATGTTGTTATATGGTACTCTTTGTGATTGTTTGAATTGGAGGATGAATGTGTTTGTATAGTGTTGTTCAGCTTATTATTGTCTTTATAATGGTGTCATTCTTTTGACAACATAACAAATAGTAATTCAGCTCTCTTTTGGATTCGATTCTTTGGTTGGGCATTGAATGGATTGTTATATATCCTTATCCTTGTCATTTTAGATGTTAAAACTTCCTTTTTGCTATGTCTTACTCGTTTCTTGAGCTGTTGGGTTACTTAAATTTTCTAAAAACAATTCACTTTTCTTCATGCTTTACAATCTCTTGTATGATTTACCAATATACTCCGTATGTTTTTGTTTGTATGAAGATAAGTAAATTAGACAATAGTATGATCTTTTTGTGTGATTGCACCATCTGGGCTTGCTGGGTTGGTTTGAGCTAATGATTTTTAAACGTAATTCAAGGACTAACTGATTGCCAAATGTCCTCTTGCAGAAAGTTGGAGATGCAAGATGGTGAAGTGAGGAATTATTGGACTAGAGCTGTTCACTGGAGTTTCATGCCGAACCATTTTCTATTTTATCTAGTTTGTAGTAAGATAGTTTTTTGTTTGAGTCAACATTTTTGTGTTAGGATGATTCATTTGGTTCTGAAACATACCGCTGGTTTTGTTCAATGGCGAAAGAGTTATTGCCCCAAGTTAATGGTGTTTTTCTGTTTGTTCTCAAATGCTTGATTGTTTATCTGATGGAGGGAACTTTGTGTTGGTATCACCCAATGAATTGCATTGTTGTAGTTGTCTAATTATCACCTGAATCTCAAGCTAAGATTAGCTGTTTAAGAAAGTTTTACCCCGTAATGGATCCTCCGATAAATTTTGCCCCATTGGATTTTAATCCCTTTTGTTCAGGAATCCAGGCATGGGGAACATATCTTAAATATCTTAAACACTACTAGGGAAGTAGGGAGGGGTGGAATAATGCAACTAATTTAAAACTTCCATTATTAGAAAGTGTAGCAACTAAAATAAACGGAGGAAGTAGGTAAATAGGGCAAAATGTTAAACAAAGCGTTTAAAAAGAAATGGACGAAGCATGAGATTGTTAAAGACTAATGAGTTTAGATTGCTTGATAGACTTTGGTTTTAGGGCTCAGATTGATATACTATATGCTCATTGAGAATGCAATGAGATTTCATCAACAAGAAGAACTAATAGAGTGTTTAGTGTCAGAGGTAGGGATAAGAGTGTGGGATAAGGATAAGGAATTGGTGAGAGGGATATGGATAAGATACATGTTCTCAGTCATCATCATTCATCAATGCCTATTTTGGTGTTCGGGTATATGTTTTGTTTCTAACTGTTCTGCTAGGTTATGAGCTTGAATTTAAAATTTTTAGAGGGAGAAACACATTGAGAGCTTAAACAATTAAGCACAACAAGTTCCATCTTTGTTATTCCTTCCTCCCTCCCTCTCAAGTGGATGTAGCTTTGAGTAAATCACTATAAATCTCCTGTGTTATTTAATTATGAATTTTAACTGCTTTCTCAATACAACTTGCAGTGTTTTAAAATAGTTCAATTTCAATCAAAGTCCCGATATTTCACAGTTACAAAAACAATGGAGCAAGTATATGTTTTTCTAGCTCGATCAACCGGTAAACCTCTGCTCAATCAATTGGAGCATGATTCTCCGTCCAAATTTGTATGAAACCTTATTAATTCCAACTTTTTTTTCCCACACATTCATTCGTGCATGCATGATGCAAAGAGTAAGCTTAGTAGCATGCAAGGTCCCACCATAAAGGCTGGTAGCATGCATTTCATCTTTTTCCTTTCTTTCTACTTTTGCAATTCATCTTTTTTAATTTTCAAATTTAGTGGCTGTCGAATACATTTTGTTAAAACAAACATACATATAAATTTTTATTACTCTTCAATTCCTTTAATTGTTAGTCATTTTCCCCTAATTTTCAAAATAAAATTCAAGTATGAAATATGTGAGATTATGCAATAAAGGGATTATGATACGATTGCACAATATAACAATATTACATTGATAACCAGTGTTTTTGACGAGAGAAATTAAAAAAAATTCCATTTTGTGGTTTTGCTGTCAAATTTTAAAGAAAAATCTTATAAGAAAGAACTAAAAATAGTGAAAGAGAAGACGGTTAGCAATTTAGGTGACTAGCTTCTTGCAACCAAGTATAGACAACCACCCTTGTATTTATTTACGAAATACTTGTTTATTTTTAATGATTCCCGTCATAATATTAATATACTTTCCCTCTCATCCTTCTTGGTTTCTCCCCAAATTACAAATGGAAAAAAGAACAAAAAGAAACAGAGAAAATGATAACGTTAAATTAAATACTAATAATAGAGTTAAAAACTTTAAATTCATAGCCTATTGAAAAGTCTTTTTTTTTTTTATTCTTTCTTTCTTTCTTTCTTGTAACTCATCTGGATTATGAGCTCAAGCTAGAGTCAATCAGCTTGTTTACACCCCTACGGCTGCCCTACTTTGTATGTATTTGCCTGACGACCCTAGCTATTTAGTGATACCAATACAATATTTATTGAAAGATAATAATTTAAGACATACTTTCTCCGTTTCTTTTTACTTGCAACATACCTTTTAGACATGCAATTCTAAGAGATGATTTGTTAAGGTAAACGAGCAATTTTATCAAAAATTTTTAACACGAGGATTAGAGTAGGATTAGGTATCATGTGTAAAAGTTATTTTAAGTAATTTATCCGTTTACATTATATAATTTCAGTCTCAAAACGTGTGTCACAAGACTATGTTGCAACTAAATAAAACAGAGGAAGTATAATATAAACTTGATAATAACACTGGAAAGGAAAGGAAAAAGTCACTTCACCAACCGAACATTTAAAAAGGAAGAGAGCTGGTTTCTTCCGAAGGATCCAAAGCAAATGTAAGACCACGACAGTTGATACTCCAAAGATTAATCATCAAAATCAAATTATAATAAAGAATATCAACATTTCAACTACACAAAAGGAGAAGAATGTTAGAAGGTTAAAATGCATACGTTATTGACACTTTCCAATCGGTGTAAAATACATGAGATTTTACAAATTTAAGGAATATCAAAGTATAACCCAAATCTTAACTGACTAAATCCAAACTCTAGAAAAGAAAGTACGTTACTACTTTTGTTTCATTTTAATTGTAATAAAATACTTTTATATGTCTCATAAATAATACCCTTTTATTACAATTAAAAAGAAACGGAAGCAGTAAATTAATCTCCTTTTCACGAGAATAGATTGTCCACTTTTCAAGTTTTCAGTGGGAGACAAACTTTTGATTGATAAATAATTCTAAGTTTCTAACTAGTAGTCAAGTAGTAAATAGTAATAGGCTAATAACTTGAGTATGATTCTAGATTGTTTGTGCAATTAACAAAAGTCATGACTTTGGATCTACAATACTAAAATGCATGCATAACTTTGGAATAAGTAGACTACACACTTCGGATTAGTATAGAATTTTCAACTACCATGATCACATATTTCCATATTTAAGAATTTGACTTCGTTAAACGCGGCATATAACAATATTTAATATTGTATGTTCATACACACATCACACTTTCAATTTGAAAATTTTAGATTAAGTCCTATATTACATTAATTAATCTTTAGGAATATCACTTATAAATTACAATCAATTACATATATGTAATTGCATATTGTGTTATGGGGTAATTCTTAACACTTTGAATTATTGCTCGATATTCTATGCTAATTATCCTCTTTTTGACTTGTTATTTGAGGAGAAAGTCTTAGATGATGTATGATATTAGTTATTTGACAAGAAATTCCCTATGTTTTTAATTGGTTAGAAATTCAGCATCATTTGATTTAAAGCAATCAATATGAATAATCATCTTATTCTGTTTTCTTTCGGGGCTTAGCCCCTCTTTAGCATAAAAAAAAAAAATAAAAAAAAATTGAATAATTATCTACTATGGAGCATTTGAAAAACGAGAAATGCTTGTATATTTGAAAACAAATAGAAAAGAACCCAAATGATCAAATCCGATCTCTACTATGGCCCTGTTTGACAAATTAGTAGCGGATGACTTTTAGTGGTTGAGTAGTAGTAATTAGTTGTTATTTAGTAGTGGGTAGTGATTAACTGTCAAAGTAACGGTTTAGAATAAATTAGTGGTTTAAATATTAAAATGCACTATAATCTTTACATATTGTTTAAAAAGTAACCAAATTAGACAAACACTACCGACTGCCCTTGAAACACTAATATTTTACCATTTGAAAAAAAAAAAATTTACCCAAATGTTACCTCTACTATTAACCGCAACCTCAAACATCCCATCTTGCCAAATACCCTTATTTTTTCTAGTAGTGTTTGACTTGGTCAAAGCGGTAAACACTACCATCAAACAGTATGGAAGGGAAGGGTTCCTAAGTTATCTTTTCTGAAGTTTGGAATTGCAAAACTTATATACTCTGTACATAATATGTACGCGTCATAGCTAGCCATGTATGGGAAGCTATTTCGATTTAGTCTTATGTTATAATTTTAGTTGTTGACAGCTTGAATGAGGGAAATATGTAAACTAATATTTTGAGGGGGATAAGTGTCCGCACATTATTTTTAAGAGATTAAAACAGAGAATTAATATTAATGAGGGCAATTAAATTAAATAAACAAACATTTTAGACGGTACATTTGTCTAAACATCATACGTATTATCTCAAACTTTTTAAAAAGTAGGGACATGTTTTTTCTGTCACCGTTCAAATAATTGTTTCACATTGGAAGATTGATAGGAAGGTCAACATATTATATGTTTCGTTTGAGGGAAGTGAGCTAATGTAATTTCCATATTAACGTAATACGGTGTACTTTGGAACACATAAATAAATTTATCTATTGACATATGTGTTCTTTAATTTGGTGCTGTAATTTTCAAGTTCTTTGCTAGTTATCCTCAATTGACTTTATATTTGAGGAGTAATTAAGTCTTTGATGATGCATTATATTCTTGTATTAGTTATTTAGTTATGACCAAATCCCTAAGCTTTTTAATTGGTTAGAGATTCAGCATCATTCTAAGTCAAAATCGTCTATGGAATTTTTGGAAATAGAAAAATGCATGTATCCTTTAATTTTTTTTTTTTTTTAAAAAAAAAGAAAAAAAAAAAGAAGAAAAAGAATATGACCCTATTGATCAAATGGACGATTTTCTTTACATATGGATTCGAGTAAAAATGAAATTCTTCTACGGGGAATTGAAATAAAGCAAAAGCTAACGAACGTCCCGATGGCGTTGGATAAGATAAATAAAAGTAGAAAGATTATATTCCGTATTAAAATGAACATTAATTACATCGATCGACGGGTGATTTTGTCATGTATTCCCAAATTAATAATACTTTAGGTAAGAATATAATTATCTAACGCTGCGGAACATTCGTTAGCAATATCCTTAAAATATTGATAGGTTTGGTAACATCCTAACATGCATATAAAATTTGTGGGTTTAGAGGCTAAAGTATTCCAAATTTATAAGACCTAAGAGAATGAAACTGATGGAAAGTTTAAGGAAAAGACTTTTATTTATATTTTATTTTTTTCAAAGTAAGATACAGGAGGAAATTAACAATATCTTCTTACAAGGCTGTAATTATACATACAAGAATATATAAGTAAGATATTGTTTATCAAAGTTCTATGTCGACATACGTGCTAAATTTCAATGGGACACTAAAGTAATAGAGGGAGTATAATTTTGTGAAAAGAAGTGTGTGTTGGTTACAAATATAATAAAATAAATAAAAAGTAAAAAATAATAATTATTTTTTTAACACGTAAAATCAACATATTATATTATTGGCTTAATTGGACCATATGTAATATATGGCTGGTAAATGGGCTACGGAGGCTCTGTAAAACCCGTAAAGTTCTAAGGGGCCGTTTGGTTCGCGAAGTGGAATCGGAATGGAATGGGGAAAGGGTATGGAGGAGAATGGAATGAAACCCTTGAAATTTAGGGTGTTGTTTGTTAAAAAAAACAAAGGGAATGATTCCATAAAACCACCACCATAGCACCACCATTTAGGGTATTTTTTGACTTTTTTTTTCTGGAATTTGGTTGTTTGGAATTCCGGCGGCGACCAGCGAGGTCGGGGGAGGGTGGATCGAGGTCGGGGGAGAGCCGGCGAAGGTGGAGCGAGGTCGGTGTAGAGCCGGCGAAGGTGGAGCGAAGGTCGGGGAGAGCCGGCAAAGGTGGAGCGAAGGTCGGGGAGAGCGACGACCATCCGACGAGGTGTGACTGCAGTCCGGCGAGGTTGGTGTGATGTGGGTATGGTGGTGGTTGGGGAAAGGGAATGATAAAGGTAGGGGGGGATGGGGAATAGGGGTGGACTAATTTTGGGTAAACCCAAGAATAAAAAAGGGGAAAGGGAATGAAAGAATGTCGCTAATAAACGACAACAAAGGGATTCATTCCCTTTCCCTTTGTTTAAACCCCCCAACCAAACGCCCCCTAAGACTTCACTTCAAGATTTCCCTACATTGTACCGTTTCTGTTTCCTAATTTTAGTAGTTTTTTACTTCTTTAATTTCAATAACAAATCACAAACATAAACAAAAATATTACAATCAAATATGAAAAATACATGATTCAAAAGCTTTAATGGTAAATCTATGGTAGACTAAAAAAAAATTAATAATACGTGGTCATATTTATATATAATTATAATTACGTGGTTATTCGTATAGGGTAAAATTATATTGTTAATTGGATATTCATATTAATTAAAATTATTTTATGTATACTTTTTTATCTTAAACAAATCTATCCAATCTAATCTAATGTGGACCATGTGGCATCTAATCTAATTAGAATAATATTTATTTGGCTCGACACTTGGTGAATAACTGGAATGCCAAGCGCTATATATATATATATATATATAGGGGTGGTTCTGAGCATGTGCAATGTGGTTGATCGCACAGGACCTCCTAAGTGAAACTACTATAAAAAGGCCCCAATTTTGAATTTAGTAACATATTTTTCCTCAAAAAATGATTTTAAGGCCTAATTTAACAAAATTACACCGGGCCATTTTCATTGTTAGCATTTGTAGCCCCGCCTTTATTATATATATATATGTGTGTATGTATTCTCTTTGAATCCTTGGTTGATTGGAAACTAAAATACTCTCTATTTAATTACAAATAGCCAAGGAGTTTATTAATTATGCACTCCATATTTAGAATATTCCAAGCTCACCTAACGATGGATCAACTTGAGGTCATTAACGTTACGGTGTTGTACCTCAAAGATAGTTTAATAGGCGTAGTACATATTGGCATATTGCTAATATATACACGTACTCCATTCTTTTTTTTAAGGGTTTACGGAGTACTTGTTTGTAATTTGCGCAATCTTAATGTACAATTTTGAGTTTTGAACATTAATATTAGATGGCTAGGACAATACTTGCAAACTAGAGAGGTAGGAATAGCTTAGGTAGTCTCTCTGTTTTAGGAGATTCTGAGATCAATTCTTATTAATTTTCATGTAGAAACAAAATATTCTGCAAGATCAGACCTTTGATCAGAACAACTATTCATAAATCACTTTGACGTATACGTTTTAGATATCAAATACATTGTACTATATTATATATAATCAAGCATGCAATGTTTGATGGAGATGGTGGGAATTACTATAGGGGGTGTTTGATTCACAAAGAGGTATGAGGCGTTTAGTTCACAAAATGGTGTAGTCGGTTTGGAATAAAGAATAAAACTAGGGTGAAAAGGGTTGGAATTACTATATTTGGTTGTTGTTTAGGAGTGAGTTTTTTTCTTTTTATTTAATTTAATACATAGAGGTGTCGTATGAGCCATACCCCTCCTCGAGTTTCTAAATCTGGTCCCATATACCTTGTGGTGGGTTTGAGTTTTGAGGTATGACTTTAGAATTTGAAATTTTCATAAACAAACATTAGGGGTGGGGTTTACTCGCTCATTCCAAATTAAGTCAAACTCATACCTCCTTGAAACCCCCAAACTAAACGCTCCTTTAATACTAGTATTATATGCACGCGATACTTTAAAAATTATTTATTTTAACTGTATATTACAATTTTGTCACATATATAAGGGAAAAAAATATTAAAGATAAAATATTACATGAAAATAATTATATTAATTCGCGAATATGGATAAAGGTAGACAATTGGGTTTAGTACTCAACTAACAAGATGGTATGACTCGTATGAGTTTGATTGACATACATTATTTCATTGTCAATATATGAAATATATGAAATTTAATACTAATGCGCCGTATAAAACAATACTATCAAATTTACTAATATATGATCATAAATTAAGTTGATTATATATGAAAGATGATTTTGATTGTATATTAATTAATTAATTGATTAAAAATTTAGAACCATGTACTCCCTCTATTCTTAAATGGCCTCGTTCACTTCACCTTATTTTTGCTGAACTGAAATTATTTTTACTGAACTGAAATTATTTTTGCGGAACTTAAATTATTTTTACTGAACTGAAATTAATTTTGCTGAACTAAAATTATTTTGATTAATTATTTTTGCTGAACTGAAATTATTTTGATTGATTCTCTGTTATATTTCTTCTTTATAGTTACTGATTTTTACTGAACTGAAATTATTTTTATTGAACTGAACTTATTTTTACTGAACTGAAATTATTTTTGCTGAAATGAAATTATTTTTACTGAATGTTATTTTTTTAAGGTGAAGTGAACAGGGCTTAATTAACACGGTCAACTTGGTACACCTGCAAATGCACTAGTTTGACCTTAGATATATATGATTAAATATTAGTAAAACATATAAAAAAAACTTGATATATGAAGCATTATATTAATAAAAATGCTATACATAGCCCTTAGGCCTACATATAAGAAGCTAAAAATGGAAAAAATTATGAAAATATCATTAATTAATTACACTGATTTGCGCGTGATTTTGTTATGCATTCCTAAATTAATACCGAGTACCAAATAAGAAAAGTTATTACATGCTTATTTATATCCCTAAGGGCTACATACAACATTACTCTTATCTTAATACTTATTTAACAAAAAATTTCATTATAAAATTTGTTTGTTTTTTTTTATTTTTATTTTTATATGTTACTAAAAACTATAGTCCAAGTTAGTATTATAAATAGTGAAAAAGTCAAACGTGTCAATTATTTAGAAACGGAGAGAGTATTTATTGATTGATTGTATAGACATAAAAATTGATTAATCTTTAATTTTTATTTGCTGATGGATTAATCTTTCCTTTATATTTGCTAAATGATTAATCTTTCCTTTTTATTTGATAATTGATTAATTTTTTTTTTGACGGAGATAATTGATTAATATTTCCTTTTTATTTGCTGATTGATTAATATTTCCTTTTATATATGTTGATTGATTAACCTTTATTTCCTTTTATATTTGCTGATTGATTAATCTTTCCTTTTTATTTACTGATTGATTAATATTTCCTTTATTTTAATTTTCTTTTCCAAATTTAAAAAAATTGGGATGTTATTGTCATTTTAGGTGGATACCACAACCTCGCCCTTCATTGATATAATAGAGATATGTTCCATGGATTACAGTGAGTAGAGTCGGTTCTCCGTACCAATTTAATACGGATTAATTTGATCATAATTTTTGGTCAATAATATTACAGTTTACCAAATATAAAAGATTTCAAAGATATCACTTAAGATATTACGAAGCATTTTAGTACAAACTCTTTCGGAAATAATGGAAATCAATTTTACATAGATTATTTTGATACATTGAGATGATTTCAACAAGCGAAGTATCGGCAGGACAACATACATATTTCTCTTTCTAATGTATAAATTACTAATATCAGTGAAAATAGATTATATAAATAATGCAAAAAAACAAATTGTAACATTTTAAAAAAAAAATAAAAAATGGAAGGGGTACTAAATCCGAAAAGAAACGAGGACTTTATACGAGAAAAAGAAAAAAAACAAAACAAAATATATACGTGTACCTAATATGAAAAGCATGAAACTAACTGTTGTTTCTAGTTAGTACGGACTATATAAAGAAGGTCCAACATTGAACATACGTTTCAACAACTTCACATTACATAATTCTTCCAAACTCAGAAATGTAGCGAGAGAAAATCAAATAAATAAATACAATATTTAGAGAGAGAAATATAACAAAGGGAAGAAATTAAAGAAATACAAAACATCATCTAAGAAAAGCTTCCTTGCAAATCTCATGAACTGTGGTGTCGTCTTGGGTTTCTACTGCTGGGGTTGGGAGTTCTTAACTGCCCTTCTTCTTTTCTCAACCCTTTTTTATTCTTCTTTTTAATCATTTTTTTTCTTCTTTTTTTTTTTTTTTTTCAAATTTTCTAAGATTTTTATTTCTTTTATTACATAAAAAAGGGTTAAGAAAATAAATTAGTATTTTTAGTAAAGCACAAAAACATTAAAAAAAAAGATTTTTAATGGAAGGTGTTTGTGAGAAGGGGTTGTTTGAGTACGGAATAATAAGGAAATCAAATCCACCACCCTTTTTGTTGAAGACCTACATGCTTGTGGATGATCCCGAGACCGACACCGTTGTATCATGGAACGAAGGCGGTACCGCCTTCGTTGTGTGGCAGCCGGCCGAGTTTGCCCGGGACTTGCTCCCTACTTTCTTCAAGCATTGCAACTTCTCTAGCTTTGTTAGACAACTCAATACCTACGTAAGTTTTGCTAAACTACTATTGCTTTAGTCAACTTTAATGGTTAATTTTAAAACATAATTTTATGTACACTTTGAGCAATTTTGTAACATTTAAAAATTGACTAGTCATATAGTAAATATTGTTTAAAAAATGTGTAGTCTATTTCTAAAGGTATATAAGCATAAATTTTATTAGAAAAATTAATCAAAATTAGGAACATCATTTTGATCTTTAATTATGATTATGTTGATCTTAATATTGTTGTTTGCTGTTGCGGGTTTGCCAAGTTTATTTAATCATGATTAGCAAATGGGAAAAGGATAAAAGGTTAAAAGCTATTGTCAACAAGTTGATTATGATTGTAGTTGGTATTTGTCTGTTTGTAACTAAGATATAAGTTAATTAATCCTTTAAGTTACGTTTACTTGGGTAATTACAATTCTATAGATTTACTTCATGTAAACAACAATGTAAATATTTTGTATTTCATTTGTCTTGAAAAGTTGAGTAAGGTGTCACATGTAATATTTTAGGATATTAAGACTCTGATGCGCAAATTAAAGTTCGTCATGCTATAATATTGTACGGAGTATACTTCGTAATGATTTATAAGTTGTAATCTTGAATTGAATCGAACAAATTTAAAATATAATTAAATGGTTACCTAATGATACTTACTAGACCAAATACATTCAAATCTTTTTAAATATAATAAAAGTACTAAAGTAACGGTTTATCTAACGTATGTAACACTTCGCTCAAAATAGAACTAACTACGAGTAGTAATTATAAAATCCACATCAGCATAATTAATTTTATTAATTTTCTTTCCAATTTTTTAAAAGATTGTAATTGATATACAAATAATAATTGCAAATTTGTAGACATACATCTCCCCTTTATAGGAATAGGATGGAATAAGTTGAATTTTTTTAAAATGATTTTAATGAAATTTAACATAGCTAGGTTGAGTAATGAGATGTTGAATTAAGGACTCTCATTAGTCCTACATATCATTAACAGTATTGATAAGATATATATGGATTAATTAACCATAAGCATTTAATTATTCCAATAATAAAAAATAGCTTAATTAATCCAAGTCAAATAATGAAAGTTTCAAGTAATTAAACTATTCATCAACTGATTGACTTAACACTTATTTGCTATGTTTTCAATAAAAAAGCCTTTTTTCAAAAAATTAAAAATAAAAATAAATAAGCCCTATATATGCTAGATTCCGAGACTCATGGACCCATAAATCATGCTAAGGACCAAGCTCCTAACCTCAAGATCACAAGATAAACTCTCTATCTAAATTCTATAATGACACCCTTGATACATAAAACATAATCGATAAGAAATTTGTATATATATTCGAGTATATATAGAAGTATGTGCACCTGAATTGACCCGATACATATAAGATTATCCAATTTGTCATGTGTATAGTACTACTAGTTTTGTACAATCTGCTTACAAAGTAAATGGTCAAATACTGTGAATATGATGGGGCTGGATGAGTCAAACTCTCAACGAGAAATTTGGAAATTGGAAGTATCAATCATCTCTTTTTTAAGATTTGTTCTAGATTGAGCTGGAGAATGTGGAATAGCCACTCGACAATTTTTTTAATTTTTTTTTATTTTTTATTTTTTGCAGCATTAAAGTCACTTGACATTTGTCTTTTTCTAATAGTCATTTTTTTTCAGAGAAAAATAAAGGGAAAATTTGACGAAGAAAATAGGAAAAATAAAGAGAGGGGTTGGTAGGTTTTGTATTCTACACGTTTTCTTTCCTTATTTTCTTAATAAGGTGTCAGTTTTTTAAATTGTGGAATTGGTAACATCTTTAGAAAATTGTATAGAAAAGAACAAAGTTGAAAACTTTATTTATTTTAGTTTTTAATTCCATGGGCTGCCCTCATATTGATCGAATTATGTAGTAGGTGGTGGAATACGTTGAGTTTATGGTTTGAGATGCTTATGTATCTTTCTCCTTAATATATAATATTATATTTGTTAATTTTCATGTGCAAATTTGAAACTTTTTAAAAAATTACACATAATTCATGAGATATTACATTAAAACCTTAATTCTCTCAACAACGATAAAACAATAATTTTTTTTATTTTTTTTTTCATCTATCCCTTTTTTAAAGAAAGAAAGAAATTAGTATATGCTTAATAATAATTAATATTCTTAAATTTTTCGTAGTAGTAACCTAATGCTCCATAAGTACCAATACAGTTGAGGAATTCGAGGAACATAGAATCATAGATTACAAGTGTAAATAAGATTTTTTATATTGGGTCATTGTGAGAGACAAACATATTCAATGCATATATATATATTTTTTTTTTTTTGAAAGAGATTCAATGCATATTTTAACAGTAAAATAATAATGTCAATAAAGCATTTTAAGTGCAAGATATACTACGAGGTGATATAATTTCTAATCAATAATCGTATTATTGACTTCAATTATCTCTTTAATACGCGCATTATTTTAATATACTCAGATTATATAATACTAATGATAATTTATTTCCTGTTTTCATACTCAGGGGTTCAGGAAAGTGGCAACAAGCAGATGGGAGTTTTGCAACGACATGTTCCAAAGAGGCAAGAAAGAATTGATCGGCCAAATTCGACGTCGGAAAGCCTGGGCCCACCGTCCACAACCAGGAACGGTTGCAGCCAACCCGACAAACTCCGAAGCTCCTCCAAATAATCATGATGAAGATCAAAGGTCCTCATCAACTTCATCATCCTCTGAGCTCAACATTCTAGTGGATGAAAACAAGAGACTAAAGAAGGAAAACGGGGTGCTAAGCTCAGAACTCACAAACATGAAGAACAAGTGCAAGGAGCTACTTGACTTGGTCGCGGTCTACACAAACCGAAAGGAAGATCAAAGCCAAGGCAGCAACAACAATGACGATGACGAAAAGTACGAAAAACAGCCAAAGCTGTTTGGGGTAAGATTAGAAGTCCAAAGTGAAAAAGAGAGAAAGAGGAAGAGGTCAGAAGAAGTTTATGAGACGGCAAGACTTTTGTTATCTCAGTCATGCAAGTAACAAGGCTAGCTGCAAATATAAATACAAGTCCATTATTAGAACTTGGTTTAATTTAGCTGTCTGTCTTAGAAATTTATCCTGAAAACTACAGTTCAGTAAATTACAAGTATGATTATTGAACTTTAATTAGTGATGAATTCAGGAACATAATTGTAGATAAATGTTTGTTCTAGTTCACAAGTAACTAGAAATTATGAATAAAGGTTGACATATGATATAGTTTATTTTGGCTTATTAGTCTTTCTTTCACTCTAAACGATATGATTGTGAACCAATAAATAGAAAGGTACTTGTTCCACACTTTAGAATGCGATCAAGAGAATTGAAGGCAAAATAACCATCAAATCACACTATCGGATTTTACTCAGTTGAATTTCCTGTATAACCTCTTACTTTTCAGTCTAGATCATCTGTTCAAAGGATGGATTTTCTGCCTGTATGAACCAAAAATTTATTTGGACTAACCCTAGCCACAAGCCATAAATAAACATCTTTTACAATAGAAAATGACATACTAGTATTTGTCTTATAAAAACTATACTAAGTCGGCTGTCACTTAAGCAAGTTTCTGGCTAAGAAAATGACAGTTCATAAACATAGATTGCTGCATTGGTATATATATTTTTTATTTATGTTAATTCAGAAAATGATACATATAACACTTGAGGTAGCAAATAAGGCGGTAAATGTGGGAATATTAAGCTAGATCAACGATTATTTACAGGACATCTATCAACGCTGTCATTTTTTTCATTTATTTAATGTTGGTATGACGACACACAATGAGTCTGATATTGGCAATGAGTCATAGAATCATAGGGCCAATGAGTCTTAGTTGTTGGACAATAGTTTAAATTTGGAATCTTGGGATTTAGAAATTACTTCTAGTATATTGGACAATGGGTCGCAATTTTTGTGTCTTAATCTTATATATTGGATACTGATTATAAGGGCAATGAGTCTCAATTTTTAAGTTTGTGTTAAGCTAACACTTGGGCACTAACTTTTCGTTTTTCACCGTTTGGAGACACCATTTTTTTTAAAAAAAAAAAAATCTTCTAGGGACTGAAGTCACATTGCTAATCAAAATCAAACAATTTCCCACATGGTTCCTTAAGTTCAAATGTTAGTCCCTCGGGTTAACAAAAAGTTAATCCCTTAAATTATTTGTTGCGTTTGTCAAGGGAAAGGAAAGAGTTAACCCAAGCAAGCAAAGTAGCCAAAACAACATCACTTCTTGAGCACTTCTGCAATTGTACTAAGCTCTCTACTTCATCCATGGCTTCTACTACCATATATGCTATTCGATATCTTCATCTTTACAATACCAATTAGATGTGAAATTCATATCATGATTTCAATTAGATGGATTCACATCTAATTTGTTAATTATACACATAAATATTCATTCAATACGTTGGTTATACAAGATAGACAAAATCAAAATTTGCGCTCAATCACTGTCTATAATTATGAGTTTATATGAACAAACTATTGTGGTTTCTACCTATTGCAGGCACGTCAGTGACACTAACCTTGAGTTCGCCTCAACAAGATACAGAAGCCTCCTAGATATTCAAGTTTGCAAATATCATCACGAGTTAGCTGCAAAGTGATTAAAAATGGTCTCCAAAGTGGATTGACTGATGCTATATTCTGCTATGCCAACAAAAGTCCTGAAAGAGTATTTTCCATACAAGTTATAAACAAAAAGAGGGGCAGGACAAATAACAAATTTGAGTAATTCTTTACCTGTTCCGTTCGATGTGACCAAAAGCATCTGCCAATGATAGATCCTCGCCAAATGGTAACTGCAACGAAAAAGTTTATTACATACTAACTTGATATGAAGCAGACCACCAAGGAACAGATGAACATCAATGACTTTCTACTAGGGTATTTAAATGTCAAATTATGGTTCAAATTGGCCGGAAAAGAACTTCATTGATCATAAATGTACATTTGCAAGCTACAGTGGCACATCCATGTTGGTTTGAGTACCACACGCAGATCCTTTTATGGTGGGGGTTACAGAAGGAAAAGAGAAACAGATACACAAGACACAACAGCAGTGGACCTAAGGTTTGCCCCCTCCATCCTGTTATTTGCACCAATTTCGTTAAGCTGCAGATTACTCCCTCTATCCCGTTGTTTGCACCAATTTCCTTATGAGTTTGTCCTTTTAAGTTTGCCCCATACTATAATAACCACGGGGACGATCACTTTACCCTCACATTGACCAAAGATTAAAACTCACATGGAGCAAACAACCTATGATGCAAAGCTGTGCCGGTGTACCCAAATATCAGAAACACTAATTAGGGGGACAGAATTGAATGTCTAAATGCAATAATGCTAGAGAATTACAATACGGATACTATGAGGGTTATAATAAGGCAATTGCACAGACTAGATCACAAGCCACTGAAATCATTCCATAGATAGACAAATTGGACATAAGGGATGAAAAGCAAAAAGGCTTACTGACAAAGCAGAAAAAGTCATGGGTATCAGTTTTCCTTCACACATTAGTTTGAGATCAGAGTGCAACTGTGGTATTTCTACTCCAATCACGATAAGCCAACAAGACAGATCATTATTCCAGACATTTTAAGTGACAATATCCACAAGCTAATCTCAAAATCTATAACCAAAGTATTTGCACAAATTTTTACCACTTTCTTTGCCCTATAATTACAAAATTGATACAATGGATTGCAGGTAGCAAATGGAAAAAAAAAAAAAAAAAAAAAAAAAAAAAAATCAAGAAAAAGAGAAGAAAAACAGCAAAAATTTTCAGTACCTGGTATCTGGCACTCAATCCATTGCACCCCTGAAAAGTAGAACCAGGAAATGATGATAGAATAAAGGACTCTATTACACTGAACTTGTCCTTTGTCAACCACCATTCAGTGAAAACAGGTAATGGGATGCCACCTACAAAAGCATAATCAAGTCAAAAAATGCATCACTTATATTCTTATAGCTAGAAGCACAAAATAGCTTCCTATGAAAGGAAAGCTCAAAATACTTTCAACAAGCAGTACTACAACGAAATACTCATGAATATTTGGAAGGATCAGAGCAAGAAAAAATAGCTTAATTAGAACAATAGTTACAACCCTACTACACCGGTAGTAAAATAGCTTGCATGAGTTCTATCTCACTTTGGGAAATAAAAATTTGACATTAAATCTACTCATCTAGTTTATATTGTGTTCTTGCACCAATAGATGATGAGAATTTGTCATACAAGCCGATGCGCTCAAGAAGTTAACAAATATCACAAGCATTTTTGGTGGATTAGTTCTAAGAAGGTTTTCAGTTTTTCATACTACATAACATTGACAATCACAGTGAAACAGAGTAAATTAACAAAATATCATAGGGGCCAAGCTAATTAAATCAAAATTTTAAAAAGGATCATTGATTCTCTTTAGTCCATCAATCATGGGTATCATGACATTGTGAAACCAAGGCACCAAGTTCTAATTACCTTGATTTAAAAGGCAATGAATTTCATTACTAATATTAATCCATAATGCAGACCATCTACATATATTAATTAGTTGGCAAAGAAGTTAGCAGGAGGACACATGCACGAAAAACACTGAGAATTTGTCTGAAAAAAAAAAATTTACTTCATTTTCTCACTTAATTTCTACAATTATTGCTAAGCTGCCGGACCAAGTGCATACACTGGTTGGCCCTTCATAATCCAGATTATATCTCAATTATAAATATATTGAAATTAAAATTACGAATCCAAATTTTTAACCAAGACATGAAATTAGCAGGTTTCATTCTATCCAACATGCAAGCTTCAACTATATATATATGATCCAATCACTTTAAATGAAAAGAAAAGCCATAATCAAGTACATATACATCAAGAGAAAGCAGAGATGGAGGTAAGAGGCCATACCGTCACGGATCAGTTGATCTGATAACTGTTCACTTAATATCTTATCAGATGCCATACTTGAATTTATTAGAGTACCAACTCGTTCTTCATTGCCAAGCCAACGAGCTATCATCACTATCAAGTCTCTTGACAAGCTGATTTCAGCTACTGGTATACTGTCAGCTGTGATATCATCAGCAGTCCCAATGCAAGTCTCCAAATCCCCTAGTAAGCTTTTAGGATGAGATGGAACTTCAGCGAGCTTCTCTTGAATCATCTGCGATAGAGCTTCTAGTTGCTCAGACTTTACTTCCGTTGGTTTTATCTGAAAAATAGAGGTAAAGTTATTAGATATTCCCAGTCACATGTTCTCTCTTTCCTAATTTCTTGAGCAATATACAATTTTCTTTCCAGAGGGATTGGAGTTGAAAATATGATTAGTACCTCCAGCTCAAGATGATTTCCAAATCGTGTCTTCAAATGCTGCGGACTTCCAATACATCTTAAACGTCCCCCAACCTTAAATCACAATAATTAAATTATATGGTCACTAGAAGCTGCAAATTAAAAGGGACCCTAAAAAAGATTATGAATAATATTCTTCATACCATTATTCCCATCCTGGTGCACAGTGCCTGAGCTTCATTCATGCTGTGTGTAGTGAGTATAACTGCTGTTCTCCCTCGTCTTGTAGACAGGTGGGAAATGACATCCCACATGAATCTTTTTGCTATAGGATCCATGCCTACAGGGATAATTAATTACACAGAATAGATTTATCTTTAGTTGAGCCTTCACACATTTTGAAAGAGGAGGGGAATGGCCAGGTTTGGGGGGGGGGGTGTGTGGAGAGAACCAGATCAGATCACAGTCTGCACACCATTAGCTAAGAGCACTACCAATTGAGAGTTCATAATATTTTATGATTCTCACAAGATCATTAGATTAAGAATAAGACATTTTTTTTTTTTTGATAAAGTAAGGTATAGATTAAGAATAAGACATAATTAATTAGAAGAATATCAAAAAAAAATTATAGCTATCTAAGAGGGTTGAGGGTTGGTTTCATTCACCATCCAATGTAGACTACAGAAAAAATACATAGCAGATGGCAAAATGAATCTGGCATAAGAATGTTAATTCACTCACACTCTCATACCTAGCTCAAAATTTATTACCAGTCATTCGTCAAGATCAATAGCAAGATCAAGGAAGGGCACAAAATGAAAACATTTCAACAGAAGAATGTGGAGAATTATCAGAAACAGTGATGCTTTATCAATTAATATTACCTGTAGATGGCTCATCAAGTATGACTAT